CGAGGAAAAGGTCAGCTGATTATAAATAAAAAGGGCGCAATCATTGAATTGGTAAATTATTTGCACCCAAATGTGTAAAATTGCGTTTCTAAATTAATTTAATAAAATTTCACTTTCTCTTAGCAATTTAAATTTATTTATTTGTTCAATTTATTTAAATGGCGACAATTTTTAGTCATTTAGCTGAATTTTAACCGCAAATTAATAGATAAAACACTTCCTTTTACCTTCATTTTTGGTTCCCCTGTTGATTTCAAATTCAATGTACCGTATTAACTGTATTAACCAGTTTATTTATCAACAAGTAAACAATTTAGCTCAGCAATTTATTTTGTCTGCCAAGTTCAATTAATGTATTTAATTCAATGCATATAATAATAACGAGAAACAAAGTGTCTCTAATGATGACTGAAAAGCAACTTGTTTACCTCCAAAAAATAGCTTTCGCTTTAAAATAAAGCTACTAGTTTCACAGGTTCACAATTTAATAATTATGTTTCCAGTTAGCTTTCAAATGATTACATTAAAAGACATTAGAAGCTAAATTAACCTTCATAAAAACCTTCAAGGTACTCAGAGTACAAAATATGTAAAATCGTTGGCTAAAAAAGAGGTTAAGCTACAAGCTACCAAATGGTAGACACCGGAGACAGCTAAGGGAAGATAATGATGATACAGATGATGGTAAAGACGAGGATACGGATGATAATGATGACTGTCAAATTGTTATTGTTAAGCAAGAGAAACATTTAAAACCAAAATAACCCAAAATGAATGACTCTGCCTGAAGACCAACACTGAAAAGTGAAACAAGTTGCGTTAGGTAAAGGAGGAAGTTATGACTAACTGTTGTGATGATGCGACTGCTGTTGATGATGATGATGATGAAATGAGTAAGAAAGTAGAGTCAATTAGAAGTACAATTAAAGGCATAAATCCATTGGACTGTAAAACCATCGTAAATGGCAAACTTGGCCCAAGGTGAACTACTTTTACAGCAAACCATATTTACTTGTCACTCTACCTTATTGGCACTAGGCCAGGTTAATTGAGGTGTGTTACTTTATGATCCTTTTATATTGTGGTTACCATTGAATTAATTATTTGCTTAAATTGTTATCATTAAGCTTTTGACCATGGCTGCTTTCATGTCATTTGTTTATTCATATTGTACTAATAACTTCAACTTGTCTTGACTTCAATCATAATAGCCATTATTATTAATACTTTCACTTTATATTTACTTCTGTCTTGTACAAATAATACGTTAATAGCCTCACCTTATTATATATTTTTTCAAGTTAATTAATTTTTGTGTAATAATGAAAATGATAATGATAATCGCAAGTTGAACTGTTTTAATTACAAGGATAAAACAGTTAACCTTTGTTTTGGCTTTTGGGTTTTAGGTTTACTTTGATGAACCATTTTGGGTTTGGTTTCTTATTGTCTTTTTCAATCTTACAGATCAATCTTGGCTTTAATTTGTCCATTAATTTGATTACAATTAAAACTGTGTGTTTAAGGCTCATCACAACATTACATGTTAATGGTTGACAATCAAGACAGGAGTGTTATCGTTTTTTACCCTAATTAGTTGATAGTTTAAATGGTATTAAGCATTGTGTGTTCTGTGTCAAAATCATGATTACCTTTAGTTATAAGTATTATATTGTATCATTACAATTGTAATTGTAAACCTCGATTGTTGATGGTAGCAATACAAGTAGTTAAATGTCAACTTATCATTTACTTTTTTAGTTAACGTTAATTGTTTTCCCGTTTTTTTCATAAACAATTGATTCAATTGCAGAGAGGATTAACAGGGAAACTACATTATTGAAATTGCTATCCTTTACTTTTTAATTGTGAATATTTTGATGCTCAATTGTAACCAGTTTTACAAAAATACTAAATTGTATTGATCAAGACAATCAAAAGGTTAAAACATTCAATGAAAAGCAAATGATGTTCAATTCAATTACATCAGGGAAAACATGATTTCTCTAATTGTTCAAATGTTAGATGAATATTGAATGAAATTAAGCAAATAGCTTGGGTTCAGTCATAAAGCCCGGAATAACAATTAAAATGTATTTCAATTGAAGTTTTATTCACACAGTTGTCAAAATGATTGTATTGAATGGTTGAATGTTAGTTGAATGTTGCTTGAATCAACTGATCAGGAAATAAAGGAAATCATATCAATAAATGTTCAGCTATTATCTGGATGATTTGAAAACATTGAGATGAAGATTCAGTTTGATACCCAAATGGGTAAAAAATTATGGATGTTTTGGTCTTTCCAAATGGTTTAATTGTTAACTTGCATGTTGAATTCAAACTGGTGATTTGGATCCGTTTCAATCTCAAGGTATTCTGAGCAAGATGGCATTGTAATTGGTACCGGATTCAATTTATGTTATTTATGGTCTAATCGGGTCTCATCATCGTTTTGTTGAGTGTGTGAACATGATTTTAAGGTGAACAGGTGAACAAAAGAAGAGATTGACTGACATTTTTGACAAATGGATAACTGGTTAAGCAGAGCTTGAAAATAATTTTTAGCCATCGCCATCAACAAGTCATCATCATTACCGTCAAGCTTAACCATTATGAGGCATCGTCCCATGCAAACTTCAATATCGTTCAATATAATACATTTAATAATGAACCTTCTTCCAGACTAACCCGATTGAGAATAAATGAAAATGATGACAAAAATTAATTTGGCATAATCATTCCGTGATTTACCGATTCAAATGATTCAATAATATCTTTTGAATAAAGCAGGGAACGAACCTTTTGTCTTTTGCTTTGCGTTTTCGTTCGCCATTCATTCCTCATTTTATCTCCTTTTTTTGCTCATTTATCATCTTTTTTACAAATCTTTAGTTTTACATTCAATTCATTGATGATTTATTATATCCGTTTCAACATTATTATACTTCTGCTGAATGATAATGTTTCATTATTAGCAAGTGATTGACTGTTGTCTTTAAAGCTGTTGCTGGTGTTGCTGGGGAAGTGTTGACATCTAATTGGAGACAAAATTAAAGACAAATAAAGTTAATGAAAGATCAAAATGTGAACATTAGAGGGTATCGAGGCAACTATTTGGGCTTCATTTGTCAAACAGCAATTATCTACATTATTGATTGTTACCTTAGTGTTGATTAATATTAATGTTTACATATTTCAATTTGTTACCTTTTCATATTTGCACCCAAACTGTTAGCCGGAAATATTAAATTATGAACAGTCAAAGATCAGTTTGGTTGTCAAATCAACATTATCTTGCAGTTAATCATTCAAGTTTATTAATCCAATGGAAGCTCGTCCTGTTGACTTGAGGATTAATTGGTGTTTTATTGTACCTACAACTCATGTTTGATACGATATAAGGCCCATTGTAAAATGCTAAAGATAAGGTCAGCTTTTCAGTTCCTCTAGTTTCATAGTCAACATTATTGTTTCATTCATCAGATAGCAAGATTTCCTATTGATCAAAACAGGATCTTCCACTTCCACAGGATTTCAAATTTGTCCCAAAAATGGGTTGACATTGAACATTGAGTTTCAGAAGAGTTTGATTTAATACGACTCAACTAGAAAACATTAATCTTTCCAAGATGAATCGGATTCTGATAATCAGAGTGTAATGAGCGGTTCAGGGGTCTCGTTTATAAGGAAGGGTTGACTTTACTGCCAGTTTCAAAGTATTTTAGGAAAGATGTTATATTCATGGAATTAATCGAAACGATAATTTATTTGGCGATTTTGTTGAATTACAGTTTTATTTTTAGTTTGTTTACTGATTAAATGGCTTGAGTTTCATCTTGATCCACTTATCGCTATTGACTGTTCAAATAGACAAGAAAAATCTTTCGTGCCGTTTCTTTAAAATGTGATGATTTGAATAAGATATGTTGATTTGACCTTTTTTGTTCCCATCTATGAATTATGATAAAAACAAGAGCCATTGAATTGAATTTCTAGCTTTCTTCACAAAAGGACTCGTTATTAAAGCTCTGTGAATAGATGGTTGAGCTGAAAAAGTTACCTTATTGATATTCAATACAATTTCATAAGTAGTTCATTGTATGTTGATTAATGGGTGCTGCAGATATTCAAGTTAAAGCGAAGAAAAAAGTGTAAATCAAAAATTAAATTAACTTGTTAGAATTGAAAATTAACTCTTGATGAAGAGTTTTGTAGAGTGTAGAGAATGGGCCGCCATCTTTCGATCGGCATATAACCTATTGCTACCGACCGATTAACATCGTTTTGAGATCTCCACCAATATACATCGTTATACTGACAAAATTTAGGGCCCATACCTTAAATTAACGTGTTAAAGTGGACACATAATACTTGAAACCCTGAAAAAAACAATCAAACAATACTTTGATATGAATCTTTACAAAGAATCAATGAATGAATATTGGACGACAGACACTGACTATCTGATATACATGTATTCTGATATTAATGGTGATCCATGCATTTAACATGGATTCATTGGATAATGAGATAATGGTCTGTGTTAGCGATTTTACCTCGATAACACTTTTTGAATGTTTGAAGCATTGCTGATTGTACTTAAAAATCAGGTAATAGATAGACAACAATAGCTTTGAAATCATCTGCTGAATTCGCAGAATTAATTATTGCAAGTACAGTCAATAAGCTAGTAATGAAGATAGATTTAGCGCTAATTATTAGTAATTGGTTCAATGGGTCGCCTAAAAATGATTCAAATGTTTGGTGCATTGCTGTTTATCACTTTATATACATCGTTTTACTCAATTAAATAACAACTTCATCATTGTTCTGTTTGAAACGACAAAGATAATCTTGGGTGGCTGTACAAAGGGCTTCATTTTTACATTGAACTGGTTTAAATTTGCAAAAAAACAAGGCAACAGAGATCGATTTAGCGATAGATTGCACATCAATGCTTTTATCGAACCTAGGAGCGTATATATAAAGACGAGTTGAGATCTATTCAATTCATTCAAGTTGATCAAGTTTTACTAAAACAGTTTACCTTTGATTTGTTAACTTTAACTGACTGATTTTCTAGCCATTACAATGAAAAATACGATCGGACTCATCTTTTTATGTAATTTGTTCATTTTGTTATTGACTTTTATTGTAATTTGTTTTAATTCCTTTTTTTCATTTTAAATTAGTTGCCGTGATCAATGTATCATACTCTACAACACTAAGAGAGTTGGAATTCATGAAAATTCTGTATGCTAGTGAAGATGTACCAAAGCAGATACTATCTTCTATGATAACTCGACGAATTGATCAAATCAAGACTTTATACGAAAGAAAATCGATTCTTAAAGATGGAAAAACTTTTTACACTTCTACTGAACATTCGTTGGGATTACTTTTGGAATCAGTGAATTCAAATGACACTCAAATCGGTGATCTTTTTGAATCTTACTCACATATTGTTAATCTTTTAAACGAAGTAAACAATCTCATGCAAATTCATCCTGTTGACCACTTGACTGTGGACACAAGCGATAGTTTCTCAAGAGATAACCTACAAGCCATGATGGACGGTTATATTGATGACATTGAGATGGTTCGTATGTGTGAAGTATCCATGGGACGTGCAGATCGAGTGGATATGAAGATCGTTGAACGCATAAAATCATTGTACAATGAAGTGAGAAACTATACTTTTTATAGGGACGATAGTTTCGTTTCTGAGTCAATGAGTATTTCAAGAAAAACAATGGACCAATGTTTGTGGCAATTCAAATTCTTGTTGAATAAGTTTACATCCACTTTCATCCATTACTAAGAATAATTTTGGAGTTTTATTAACTATTAAAATGGAATAAATATTGAAGCATTAAATATAATCGTTTCATTCAATATTTGAAAACTGAAAATAAGATCAAATCACATCTGATGTGAGAATAGAGTAGTTAATATAATAATGAGACGGCAACTTCATTCTGACGGTAAATATTGAAAATGAGATTCTCTTTGAAGCTAATTATTCGGTTATCTAGTTTACCAAGAGATGAAATTCAAGCTTTGATAGATGCTAATGTCGATGGCATTAAGATGGTTCTTGTTTATGATGCATAATTAGCACATTGAGATCGAGTGGATTTGAAGATTGTTAGTTGACATCTTATGTTTCCAAAAATGGATTTAAGCATTGAATACAATTCAATTGATCAGCTAATTATTATAATTTCACCTACAATGCTTCAAACACTCAGAATATGATTATCAAAATAAAATAAAGCTGATAACACAGGTCATGAATCACACATCTCCATGAACTTACCATTGTTCGATATTCTTGATCCTTTTTCTTGTTCCAATGAATTTCGAGGGTGAAAAACAAAAGAATAGGGAAAACTGCCTACCACGGAATTTCTCTGGAACCTAAACAATAAAGATGTAAAATTGAATGCTGAATTCATTAGTTGAATCCATTTTTGAAAACATAAGTTAGCAACGAAGATAGATTTAGCGTTAATTATTAGTAATTGATTTAATGCATTGATTAAAGCAAATCATGTAGATATAAAGACGAGTTGAGTTATATTCAATTCATTTAAGTTGATCAAGTTGTTACTAAAACAGTTTACCTTTGAATTATTAACATTGACTAACTGACTTGGAAGCTATAATATTACAATGAAAAATACGATCGGACTCATCTTTTTATGTAAGTTGTTCATTTTGTTCTTGAATTTTCAATTCTTTCAATGTCTTTTTCCATTTTGAATTAGTTGCCGTGATCAATGTGTCACTATCCTCATCACTACGAAAGTTGGAATTCCTAAAAAGTCTATATGAACGTGATCATAACGATGTGCCGAAGTCGGTCTTAACTGCTATGGTAAAGTAACGAATTGATCAAGTAAGGACTTTATGTGCAAGAGAATGGATTGCTGAAGACTTTAAAACATTTCTGAATACTACTGATGAAGCGTTGAATCAATGGTTTCAAAAGACACTCATATCGATGATGTAGATGAACTTTACTCATATATCGTCAGCCATCTCATCGATACAGAAAAAGTCATGAAACTTACTAGCATTAGTTACTTGCCTGTTGATTCGCGCTCTAGTGCCCCAAGAGCTGAACTTCAAGCCATGATGGACGCTTATATTGATGGCATTGAGATGGTTCGTATGTGTGAAATACCCTTAGGACGTGCAAAGCGAGTGGATATGAAGATCTTTGATCGTCTAAGATCGTTCAATCATTTACGAAATTATCATTTTGATACGGAGGATTCATTCAACGCTCGAGAGGACCTTGTTTCACAACAAACAATGGATCAAGTTTTGTGGCGATATAAGTTCTTGTTGGATCAATTCATTTCAACTTTCTCTGTTTATTAGGTATAATTTTGGAGTCTATTATTCATTAAAATGGAATAAAACCAAGCATTAAATAAATTGTTTCAATTATTCATAAACTGCAGAGGATGTCAAAACAAATCTGATTAAAATAGAGTAATTGCATATAAAATCCTGAATTGCTTTGGCATAAAGTTAGCAATAGGTTCGGTACATCTTCACGAGGATACAGACTTTTTATAAAATCCAACTCTCGTAGTGATGAGGATAATGTCCTATTGCAAAGTCATGAAAACTTAAGAAAATCTAAAACTGAGTTCGATCGCACTTTTCATTGTAATGGCTTTCTATTTACTCTCGATCGCTGAATTTATCTTTGTTACACTGTTCTTCTTCCAACTTTTAAACCGGTGCAATCCATGTTAATTTGAATAACTTGGTTCAGTTGCTCCTGATTATTCAACAATGATGCCAATATTAGCGGATTGAGTGAAAAGATATACATAAAAGATGCAATTAAGTGATGAACAAAAATACTTCAAACATTTAAAAAGTGTTATCGAAGTGGAGACGATAACAGGCCATGTTAGATCCATGGAGTACCATTAATATCGCGAGTTAACTCGTCTTTAGATCTAGATGATTTGATCAATCAGAGCATTGAATCTATTACTAATGATTAATACTAAATGAGCAATAAACTAGCAATAATTGCTGCTTTGTTTTTTTTGCAAATTTAAACCAGTTTAATCATGTAAAATTGAGTAATATGGATTGGCCGCTCATTTGTTCAATTTCAATCAGAACAATGATAAAGTTGTGATTCAATTGAATTGATAAAGTTGTGATTCAATTGAATTGATAAATATAATTGAGTCATTAACAACAATGCTTTAAACACTCAGAATAGTGTTATCAAAGTAAAGTCGATTAAACAGATCATGAATAACACATCTCCATTAATAATTCAATATCAGCACCATAAAAGATAACCAGCGTTAAATATTTTTGCTCCTTTGTTCTCGTTCCAATGAATTTCGAAGGTGAAGAATAAAAGATTAGGGAAAACTGCCTAACACAGAATTTCTCTGGAATCTGTACAATAAAGATTGTATGTTAAATTCAATGTTTAAATACATTTGGAAACAGCAGATAGATTTAGCGCTAATTATTTGAAATTCATTGAATGTTTTGATTAAAGCAAATCATGTGGCCTTAAAGACAAACCATTTAAGTTACTCAAGTTGTTACTAAAACAATTTGCCTTTCATTTCTTAACAGTGATTTGGAAGCCATTACAATGGAAACTGCGATCACTCTCATATTTTTATGTATTAAGTTGTTCATTTTGTTGACTTTTTATTTCTTTTACTGTCTTTTACAATTTTAAATTATTAGTAGTTGCCGTGATCAATTGGTCATACTTTAAATCATTAAGAGAGTTGGACTTTATGGGAAGTCTATATCCTCAAGGTATACCGAAGCAGTTATTGACTTCTATGTTAGCTCGACGAATTGAGCAAATCAAGGCTTTATATTGATACAGATTGATTCCTAAAGACGGAAAACCTTTTACAACTCTACTGAACAATCGTTACAACTACTTTTGAATGGCGCTCAAACCAACGATGCTACTAATTATTACTCAAATGTCGTGGAGCTTACATTCTTTGTTGAAAAAGAATTGGAACTTGTGAAGTATCTTTCGGACATTCGGATCGGGTGAATATTGAGATACTCTACTCCAAATCAGATATGAATTGATGTTTTTCAGTTTTTGAATAATTGAATGAAACGATTTTCTTTGACAAGTCAATTTTTATTACATTTTATGGATAATGAAACTCCAAAATTGTAACTAACGTTAATAATGGACGAAAGCTTTTATAAATTGATTCAATATTATTCTCTAGAACAGCGATGAAATGACAAAATTATGGTTAATGAAAAAGGAAAGTTTCTGTGAATTGATGCAACAAGAAACGAAGTTGCAACAAACACTGATCCATTGCTTTCCGTGCAATACTTAGTTCCTCTATGGCAAGTCCACTGTCATGATAAATAGTTAAATCTTTCAAATTATTGGACAATGATTTTAGACGATCGACAATCTCCATATCCACTTTATCTAAACGTCCAAATGCTGCTTCATAAACAAGAACCATCGCAATATCATCGGCATAAGCGTCAATCATAGCTTGAAGTTCTCCTTTTGGTAAACTAGAGCGCGAATCGACAGTCATGAAATCAACATTAACAAATTTCAAGTCTTTTTCAGCATGGTATAAAAGCTCCAGAACATCTGAGTAATATTGAGTAGCATCACTGATTTTAGTGTCATTCATTGATTTCAAAAGTAACTGTAACGATTGTTCAGTTTCAATGTAAAAGGTTTTTGCGTCTCTAGGAATCGATTCCAATGCGGACTTGGCCTTGACTTGATTACTTCGCCGAGTTACCAATAAATTCAGTAACTGCTTTGGTATACCTTCAGGGTATAGACTTCCGATAAAGTCCAACTCTCGTAAGGATAACGACACATTGAAAACAGCAACTGAAATAATTTAAAGTTAAAAAGACATTAAAAGAAAGTGAAAAGTTTACAAAACAATGAACAACTTACATAAAAAGATGAGTCCAATCGTATTTTTCATTGTAATGACTTTCAAATCAGTTAGTCAATGTTAATAATTCAAAAGTAAACTGTTCCAGTAACAACAGGATAAACTTTAATGAATTGGATAGATCACAACTCGTCTTTATATCTACCGGATTTTTTCAATCCATTGTTAATACTTATCTGTTGCATGAAAAATTGAATTACTTGGTACGCCCGCTTACGATTATTGGTTCAGTTTCAACCAGAAAAATAATAAAGGTGTGATTCAATTGATAAAGAATGATTCAAATACTAAAAATAGAAAACTGTAATCTATAACGCAGGCCACTATCTTGAATATATCAGTATCAGAACATATCAGGTAGTATTGCATTGTTCCATGACTCATTGGTTTTTATGATTCACAAGTTATGAATCTTTGTTCAATTGTTTTTTTTCTTGTTCCATTAACTCAGAACTAATATTAATAATTAAAAATTATTTCTCATTTTTCATGTTGATTGCAAAAACTTTGATCATATTGACCTGAGATATTGACGAAAAAACACAGGAGTTTTGATAACACATTGAATCTGATATTGGCTTCAACAAGAAATCGTTGAACTGCTTCTGGATAAACAAGCAAGAAAAATATGCTGGACGCAATGATAAAAGATAAAGGAATGGTAAGAATGGTGTTGGTCAAATTGAGCAAAAAGATTTGAGCAAAATCCGTTTGCGCTAAGAAGATTTGAGCAAATTTTGCTCAAAAATTGTTGATAATTTTCAGAGATCATTCTTAAATTTTTAGATCATTCAAGATCCTACAAAAAATATATCATATTAATTTTATAATCGCTAATAACATCTAATGAATGGTCAAAATCAATAGAACTGTCGATAAACTGAAAAAAGTGTTGAAACATTGGTGTGTACCAACAATTTTTATCCACGAATGATAAGCGCAAAAACTAAACCTGAGTTTAAAATTGTGTTTGCTCTAATCAGTTTTGCTCTTAAATGTCTTAGCGCAAAAGGTTTTTGCTCAAAGCTCTTTGCTCAAAATAACCCAAATCGTAAGAATGCTTGGTTCTAATGAATATTGAAAAAGCAAATTCTTGGTTCGACAAACAAATAACACTGAGTGATCTTTATTGCCATGATCAGCAATCGAATGCTCTCAAATTAGATTAAAAGTGTTGAAGAATTAATATTCCCATTTAAAATCATAATTTTTTTTTGAATCGCTCTATGAAATCGCGAATGGTGTTACAGCAATTTTACGACAAAAGATGGGGTAATCTTGCTATTGGCAAGAATTCGATATCGCTTCCGGATTGGTCTGTATTTTTTTCTCTTGCAGATCAAATTTCGTTGAAATGTTAATTCAGGTGTTATAAAAGCTCATGAAGCAGGTGAATTGATTTGTGACCCTGCAAAAACTGACTCATAAGCCTTTTTTTGATTGTAAATATAGCTTATAAGTACTTATGGTACTTCTAAACGCATAAGTCTAATCTCTAGCATCATATGCAAAGCATCTTGAATCTTTGGTTTCCACAAATGCTAGACTATTCAGTACAGTTAATATTTACTTTTATCATGCTTTATTGAATAGTTTTATAAGTCGACGATCATAATTTAGTTTCATAAATCATTTGATAATAGTTTATTAGCATGGTTAGAGCCCATTTCAATGTTCATGTTCATGTTCATTGCCCATATTCATGACTCAGTTCAGGAAAGTTTGAACAACATTTATAACTTTATTTTTCACTGTTACTGGTCTAAAATATGACAACTCAATATTTTTAATTTATCTCAATTTAGAAATTGCTTACCAAATTAACGTGTCATAATCAACACGCGAACTTTATGCTTAAAACCATGATAAATTCAATTTTACAATACTTTTGCACCAATCTTTACAAAATATCAGAAATATTGAGCGATACTAAACCGTCTATCTGATATCATCCAGTATATCGAAGAAAATATTTATGGTAAATAATATTTACTGGATAATATCGATAGTTATGATAATGATTCAAAATTAGTGATTATAACTGGTGGTATTAATGGCGTGATCCAAGGGTGTAACATGAATTTATTGGATGTGTTCAATTATGAGCTAATGGCCTGAGTTAGCGACTTACCTTTGAAAACACTTTTTGAATGTTTGAAGGAATGCTTTTTATCGCTCAATTATATCTTATTACTCATTATCATTGTTCTAATTGAAACTGAACAAATGATCCTAGGCGGATGTACAAAGTTCTTCAATTTTACATGGATTAAACTGGCTTGAATTTGCAAAAAAAACAAAGATAGATAGATTGTGCATCAATGCTGTGAATGAAAAAATCAGCATATATAAGAACGAATTGAGATCTATTCAGTTCATTTAAGTTGAACAAGTTATTTCTAAAACAGTTTACTTTTGATTTATTAACATTGACTAACTACTTTGGAAGCTAATACAATGAAAACTGCGATCGGACTCCTCTTTTTATGTAAGTTGTTCATTTTTTCTTGACTTTCATTTCTTTAAAACCTCTTGTCTTTTCATTTTGAATTAGTTGCCGTGATCAATGTATCATACTCCACATCACTACGAGAGTTTACCTTCATGAAAAGTCTATACGCTCGTGAAGATATGCCCAGGCTAGTACTAACTTCTATGATAACTCGACGAATTGATCAAGTCAAGACTTTATACGAAAGCAAATCGATTCTTGAAGATGCAAAAATCTTTTGCAATTCAACTGAACAATCGTTAAACTTACTTTGGAATCAATGAATGCA